CTAGTCTTTTAAAATTTGAGATTGCAATGGTCACTCATTGCTTTCACAATTTCAACATCCGAATTAAATTTCTCCTCCTTGCTCGAATGTCAAATTTTATTGGCAAATAGGAAGCCAGTGAATGAACGTTCAGAGGACTACCTTCCACGCTTGTTTGTGTACGTTCGAGACTGAATTAAATGCAGCTTCACCAAATCTTCTCTTCACCCTTGTCCTTGTCCTTGAAGGTTCCCCTTGATCTTCCCCCAAACCTCTGAACCGAAGGGCTTCTGCTGAATTTCCTTCCGTGCATCCGAGGTTGATATTCGTGGGCTTCTCCTCCTATGCCCATCTCTCCAATTCGCTTTGTGAGTTTTCCTACAGCAGAAACATTCCACCCATCAAATTACTCAAAAAAGGAACAAATATACAATATATTGCAATTTGATGAAGAAATAAAATGATAATTCTTACCTAGACATTGATACAAAGTGTGATAGACAAGAATTGGGCATTTGATCTCAATATTAAACCAGTCAAAAAGTGCAGCTAAGGGGAAATCAAGAGATTGTGCAGCTTTAAATAAGAACACAGAAGATCTGAAGACAGCAAGAAATATGACTGATGATACATTGCAAAATGGGTAGGTTTTTTTCTGTATTTGGACAAGGGAGAACCAAAATTTCCAGAAAAATGAAATACGGACGTTAAAAATAAAGATGATGCGGCTATAATCTTGATTAGGGCTTAACAGAGAAGGTTTTGAAGGGGTAATCAAGAATCCTCCATTAAATGTGAGGCTTGAGCATCCATGGCAAAATACACAAACAAGCCCTTCAAATTTAAATGCCAGAAATTTTATTACATGAATGAGCATCAGAACTTTCCTTTTAAGAATGTATGAATATTGGATTTTCTTCTAGCTGGCATTTGATATGCATTCAGTTCAAGATAATGTTGCTGCAGCCTCGAGTACTCCACCTTCGTCTACCCCACTTTTTCCATCAACATTTCCTCCTAGCAAGGACCATTAAGAACTGCTGAATAACAAACAAAGATAAATAAATTCTAGGCGTTTTGGATGAAAAATGTTAAAGTTTCTTTCGGAGATATTTATTAAAAGTTTTGGACTTTCATTGCACATTTTTGAAAATTTTGAGACTTTTGATGCAAAATACTTTTTAATTTATAAAATATTAGAGACCGGTTTGCCTTTTTAGAATTGGTCAAATTATGATTAAGTTTTTGTTTGGCCTCTACTAAATTATAAAAATTTATTTTTCTCTCTTTTCTTGACAATCGCACATTTTTAATAAAATAATATTACCTTTTTTTAACCACACACTATAAAAACTTACTATTCTCCTGAGTAAAATGTTAAGGCCCTGTTTGGACGCACAATTTCAACCGAAGAAAGTGGATTTTTGCACTGTTAGCACCCCAAGTCAGCCGCACATTTTGACCACTCCCTTCACATGCGAGTCCCACCACTGCCTTGAACTATCACTGTTTCAATTAAAATTTGGCCACAATCTCTCCCAAATATACACTAAATAACGGAGTCCATACAGGGGCTAAAAGTTGACTTTTAATCAACTAACCTAATTTTGGACGAAAATCAACCTATTGAAATGTTTGGGGTCTACTACTACTTTAAATCAAATATTTGGGTAAAACTAGCACATTTTTGAAATAATTTTGGGCATTTCGCTGAAATTATCCCATATTTTCATTGAGAGTGAGTTAAGGACAATTTTGCCCATTCTTATTTTTTAGGTCATTAAGGTTGACTAACCAAATAAACGGACGCAGCAGCGTCCATTGAGAAGAATGATGCTTATAACCCCTTCGTCCAGAAAAATTGCTCGGAGACAAAAGTGCAAATGATCCTAAATTTTGGAGATGTATAGCATAATTTACCTTTTTTATTTAAAGACTAAAGTTGATAAGACGAGGGACTGACTTCGTTATTTTTCAAATCAAAAGTTCGTTTTTTCCTCCGTTAGATATATTGAAAGTAATACATTGGAGTGTCGTATTGATTTATTATCACCTATAAATTAGACCTTGTCGAATTAGAAAAAGTAAAAAAATATTGGATCGAGATGGTGTCAACTTTTTTATTTTACCATCATCACCATCGTCGCTTATTACTACTGATAAGCTCGTGTTTGAGCCACATTCTTAATATTTTACTTATTTTCAACAATACCTTCTTCGATAAAATAATATTTTTGCATCATATCAATAGTTTTTCCTTCTTTTGCAACTACATATTCACCATCACATCACAAAAAAATGCATTCTTTCTATTTTAATGTGCATTAAACACATTCTAACACAACATGTTCCACCGTACTGTGACTGCAAACACGCCCAAGTTTGGAAAGAAAAATTATGGGCCCAAATTACACAAAGTATTATGCATGCATCCTGATATGGAATGGATCCATACTCTGTGACCTTTGGGGAGTGAAAGAGATATACATTATAGAGATTTGGCACGTGCCTAGAGCATTAGCCCCTGTTTGGTTTGAACAAAAGTTAAACTTTTAGTAAAATTTGATAAATGTTTGATGAATATGTGAATTGTGAGTCAA